CCAAAATCAACACCACTGTCGCCACCATCAACTATCAACACCATTGCCACCACCAACCATCAACCACTGCCACCACCCTGAACCATTTACCACTGCCAAAATCAACACCACCCACCACCACCATCAACCACTGCCACCACAAACAGACCATTACATCAACATCGCCGTCGCCACCATCAACACCCATTGCCTCCCAAATCCAAAAAACAAAAAAAGCCCAAAAGAGAGAGAAGGCAGATTCTGGACAAATTTGCAGGTGACCCATCGCCGTTAGATCCCGATCGCGACCAACTGCAGCTTCCCTCTCTTCGACCGCCGGTAGAGATGGGCCCAAACCACAGCAATGTCGCGTCCCTTGGGTCGCGATGAATAGGTCGCCACACTGCGTTCACGGCAACATCGCATCCCCAAGTTGGCGCCGGTGCATTTCCTTTGTCGCCGGTTGAAGTGTACGATCATCCACAGCCGGCGTCGATCATCCACAGCCAGCGTCCAGGAGAGAGAGAAGGCAGAGAACGGTTGGAAGAAAGTGACGAGATTTGGTTTTGAGTTTCAAAATATATTTTCCGTGTTTTGTATTTTCTCGAGTTCTGTACAGAAAACAGCCAAAACGACATTTTGGTCATTTTGTGTTTTTTTCACAAATTTTTTTTGTGTTTTCGAAAATGCGTTTTCGAAAGCGGAAAAAAGAACGCGTTTTCACTGTTTTGAAAATTCGAAAATAGAAAACGACCCGAAAACGGGAAAGAAAACGCACCCTAAATCTTTTGACTTTATGATTTTGAATTCTTGTTTGACATGATTATTTAATACAATATATATCAATTATTTATAGAGTAAGCAAAATGTTGGAAGTGAGAACATGTATATTGATGCTGCAATTAGTCACTTGATAGTACTTATTTATTTTTTGAAATATATCGAGAAACTGGTTTATAATCTGATAAGATTTCTGTTAAAGAAATTGTTGTTCAAATAGAAGTTCATGAAAAATATATTATTCATAGAAAGAAACACTTTGATGAAAATTTCAATAATAAGATAACACATTCAGCTAAAACCTTAAAAGCACTAATTTTTAAACAGAAAGTGCTCATATAAAATCTTAAAATTTGTCTCTCATTAATCACGAGATTTTGGGAGATTTTCACCAAAAAAAAAATGTTTTTTTTTCAATCTTTTTTTCATTTTTCCTTCTATGAGCATGTATGATTAAATTTTTTTCTATTGATTATATTTATTTTTATTCATCTCATGAAAAATTAAATTGGATTCTTGTAAGTTTTTTTTTTTTTTTTTATTCATTTTTTTTTGTGAAAAATACCTATTTTTTTATTAAATTATAAAATTTTATGTGAAAATTTTATGATTAAATTTAAATATATTGATTTTTATTTATTTTTAAAAGTGCATTACATTAATAATATTGAATATTAAATTTATTGCTTATTATATATTTGTATAATTTTAATTATTGTTTATTTAATTAAGATCTTAAATTTTTATTCTTTTAATTTTTTTTTATTATATGGGAACGAGGGGAAGGAAAAGGGGAATTATGGAAACCAACACTTCGTATGTGAGAATTTCACATCATTTTACTAAATTCACGTGAATTCTGTTTCAAATGAAAGTTTTCAAAAGTCTTTTGAATTCTAAGAAAGTCTATAAACATTTTAAAATGAAAGTTCATAAAAGTTTACGAAAGATTTCCACTAATTCCATACAAATCTATAAAAGATCCACAAAGCCCACTGAAGTTATCACTTAAAAGAAGTCCACCAAAGCCTTCAAAAGTCTCAATTGAATACACCTACCTTAGAGTTGTTTCTTTCTTATATATATTGATCAGGCTCTTTGTTCACTTAAGCTAATGTTTGACCAATCTCCAAAAATTATGAAAATATTTTTGAATTTTTTTATTCTAAAAAAACTGAAGGCTACAAATGATAATTCTGAGTTAGTGTGATAAGTTTTAAAAAATTTTGTTGCACGCCAAAAATCTGATTTTATAGGCAAGATTTATTTTTTGATATGCAAACTTGAGAAATTATTTATCGGAAGAGACCAAAAAGACTATTTAAGTGCTAGACTATATTAAAATGATGGATTATTATTTTCCAAATATGTGGATTGCTTGTAGAATATCATTGACTATATTAGTTACTATTGCGTCTATTGAGTATAGCTTCTCGACGTGAAGTTGATAACATCCTATATTTGGTTTACAATGTCACAAGAAAGGCCGAGGGCTTGTTTAAGCCCAATTTTTGTCAAAAAATGTATTTTTGAGTAGTGTATCGATGAAAAATATGTTGTTAAAAAATAAAGAAAAGTTTTGGATTCGCATGTTACTTTATTTTATTGAAAGATTTGTGATTGATGGGATCAAAATATTATTCATGAATGCAATTTTTTTTCAAAAAATAAGGCTCCAACAATGACTAAATGAATTGATCATAGTATTGAAGAAAAAAAAATATATTCTAAAACAGATTGATTATAATAATATAATCACAATAAATTTGATTTTTTTTCCTTTTCTCTTACTCTATCTTACTCTCTCACACCTTTTACCAAAACTTTAATCCTTCTGATTTTTTTTAAATTTGTGTTTATTTTTCTACAAATTGTCATATCTACTACAAATTTTCATTTACCAATAAAATTTTCAATTAATTAGAACTCAAATTTGCATTTTCTCCTATCCTATTTGTGATATAGAAATATATTCTAAAACAGATTGATTATAATAATATAATCACAATAAATTTGATTTTTTTTCCTTTTCTCTTACTCTATCTTACTCTCTCACACCTTTTACCAAAACTTTAATCCTTCTGATTTTTTTTTAAATTTGTGTTTATTTTTCTACAAATTTTCATTTACCAATAAAATTTTCAATTAATTAGAACTCAAATTTGCATTTTCTCCTATCCTATTTGTGATATAGAATGTGACTGAACTAATTATATCCAATTTAACTTATATTTACGAATTGTGTTTATTTAATTGATTATTGTTATTGAATATTGGTTATATGTTTTTCCTTTCAATTACTTGAATTGATTGTTTGTATCAAATACACTATAAATTTTTTAAACGCAAATATATATTTTCTTGTGTTGAGCAAAATATTAATAAAATGATTGTTCGAAATGAAATGGATGAAAATGATGAACAAAATATTAATAAAAAAATATTTTTCAAATGTAAATCTACATTTTCTTGGGTTAAGTATAAATCATTCAAAAATCAAGAACAAAGTATTCGATTTGTACAAAGTTTGATTGTACCCCACTAACTCGAAATGTCTACGTCTGCCCCTATATATATATATATATATGAAATTATCATAAGCCCTTAAAATCTGAGGACTGGCCTGCTCTTGTTAGTCTTCCTCTCTTCTCTCCTTCCGTTCTCTTTTTCTCTCTTCTTACAGTTTTAGTGATTATTTGATTAATTGTTACACCCGTACTGCCGTACTGCGTCAGTTAAGCTTCAAAAGATTCTGAATTCCTCAGGAGATTTCTTACTAGCACACAACCAAAATGTTGTATATATCAAATAATGAGACAGGCAGGAAAACAGATTGTCTGGAGACCATAAACAATTGTAACTGTATATCCATAGTGAAATTGCAATGCAGAAAAAGTTGTAATTTTCGTTTCTCTACTTTGTTTGGTGGACAAAGCTTAAATGATTGATGTATTTGCAGTAGAACATTTGTGTTGATTTTCTTATCAATCACATATCTTTTTAATATTTGGCTTTACAGAGGACCTTAGTTGTCAGAGGCATGAAAAGGATAAGTAAATGAGTTTGGGAATGTATAAGATAAGACTAAAAAGGACCTAAAAAATGATCTATAAAGAGAATAAAGTCTAGAGAATGAAAAAGGAGGAGGAGAAAGAATAAGTAGGTAAGAAACCTCGTCTAATCGCGCGCTTTATCATTAAGCTTACAGGAAATGATCAAGTTACAAGAAATGGGCTCACTATTTCATTGTGCAAAATAAGATGGCATTATGTGGAAAGATGATTGTGATGAAGAAGAGAATATGTGACTGAATCATTCATCCATTTACCCCCCTTAAACCAGTAAGAATTCATTGCTAAGCTTCAGGAAGTTTTAGATTGCTTAATGCACTTCAAAGGACTTGAATTACATATAAAACAATCCCAGCTTCGTATCCACTGCAGAATCGTTTTTACACCCTATGTTGCCTAGGCGTAGTCTCTTAGCTACTTTATCTTTCCTACCAAACTTAGTTTCCCAAATGGGCTCCTCAGTTTTCTTCACTTTTATACCATGAAAATTCACACACTAGTCCACAAAAATCTTCCACAAGACTAGCCATTATAGTCAGACAAGTAAAATTATGTCTTCTCTCCATTGAATCTTCAAAAAATTCCTTTAACAAGATAATTTCAAAACCGTGGTCTTGGATACCCCAAGAGGTGTCCCTAAATTATATAGGGAAACACGTGTGTTAATCTCTTATCTTTTTCTGTTTAGTTTACTTCGAAACCCAAACACAATTATGCTAAGCACCAACAAAATAGAACTCACCTTTAAATTGATAAAAACTTTGATATACGCTTTGGAAAGGGTGTTGTGGTGCCATATTTGAATCATAGTATAATGAGTTGATACTAGAGAGAGAGACAAAAAGACACTGGGGAAGGGAAACAAGATAATTATGATTCTACCACCACGAGCTTGAAACCATGATTAAGGCAAAAGTTTTTTCTTCCAGAATTCTGCAAGAGCCAAAGTGCTCAGAGATCAATAAGAATATTTTAAATAAGTTAAGGTATAAATCTATCTGATGTCTAATTTGTAGGAAAGCACACAAATTATTATCTACATCTGTTATCCATGTAGGTTAGATGTGCTACAGGACTTTATGCTTGGTCTTGTGATACCTTCAACTACTTTATTTACATTTTTCTGCTTATATTTATTTTGCCATGTCTCATGCGGTTACGCAGGTCACCTCTATTAAATGTGGAATGTGGGATTCCATGCTTGATACTTCCGAAACTTTACACCAACAAGAAGTAGCCAACACAATTTCAGAGAATTTTGATAATTATATGAGCGTAAAAGTTGAACCAGCTGAAAAGGATGTCCCGCTTTTGGACAGGACTAATGTGAAGCATGAAAATGGTTAGTTATGTTTCATTAAGATATTTCTTTCTTAATAATTTTGACCATTTTCAACCGGATTTCTGCTGCTATATCTTGTTCCTATTAAGCTCTTAAAGCATAATAAAAACTCGTGTGTAGGAACTCTTGCTGACATGCTGTATATTAGATTCCTTTAACAGTGTAATCTTATGTTCATGTTATTGCATATTGTCCCAGGGATCACAGTGGAAGATATAATGAAAAAAGTTACAGCACACTTTGAACTTGATGCAGATACACGGGGATATAGAAATCAGCCTCGAGATAAGATACGCCTCTTCTTGAGGGAGCTTTACAAGTGTGAGTCTTGGTTAATCGAGCATTTTGCAGTTAAAGATTTTGAGTCACTTGGTTATGGCGAATTTCTGATGTTCTTGGAAAAATATGTTGACCTACTTCCCCATGCATTACAAAAGTGCTTGATTGGCGATCCAATTGAAAAGGCTTCTGTGGAAGCTTACCTTTTACCACTTCAGCTCGCTGTATTACTCTCACAAGCTTCAAATAACATGTGGGGAAATGAAAACATAAGCACGCAAAATGTCTCTGAGTTACTAATAAGGCAGTTTCCATTAGTCAGTTTCAAAATAGTGGAAAGTGAATCTGTGATAAACTTTGTTGATATTAGAAAAAGCGAAGGCAATCCAAGTTCTGGATGTGTTTTATTTTCCGCAACTTTGTCAGGATTGCCTCGTTTTGGAGATTCATCAGTATCTGAAACTTCAAGGTTGGAGATCAATAGTTATGGTAAAGCTGGTATGGTTGGTGTAGTGACAACAAAGGATGCAGTCGAAGTCTTATGCAGGGCACCGATGTTGGCCGATCTAGAATTGTGGTCACATTGGGACCTTGTATTTGCTCCTTCCCTTGGTCCTCTTCTGCAATGGCTGTTGAATGAGGTAAACACGAAGGAATTTATGTGTATGATGACGAAGGGTGGCAAAGTGATCCGTTTAGATCATTCAGCCACCGTAGAGTCATTTCTAGAAGTCTTCCTTCGTGGATCTTCATTTGAAACAGCGTCGAAACTATTATCTCTTATTTCACTGTATGGGGGTGAAAGAAATGTCCCAGTATCTCTACTAAAGTGCCATGCACGCCAAGCTTTTGAAATTCTTCTCAAGAACTTCCAGGAAATGGATAGACAGCAATCTGACTGCTCAAGTCGTTCCACGGAAACAGGAGCAATTGCTATGGCATCACGGTTTACACTTGATTGTCTGTGTTATTTACCTATTGAATTCTGCAGTTTTGCCGCTGACATACTGCTTGCTGGATTGAAATGTTTTGTCAGAAATGCTCCTTCTGCCATCTTGTGTGAATGTGAGAAAATAGAGCAACGCCTCATGCTTCATGAAGTGGGGATATCTCTTAATGTATTAGAATGGATTGGTGATTACCGTTTGTTCAATTCCTCTACATCTTCTAAAGCATCAGTCTCTTCACAATCTTCTTGCTTGAAAGCTGCAAGTTCTGGCTTCAGCATGACTTTAAATATGCTAAACAGCTGTTCTTCTGGAGGTAAAATGATGATCTCCAATCAGATTAGCACGTGTGCAGAAGATTGTGTAGGAGCCAATGAGATTTCCGTGGATAATTCTATGAGGAGCTTATCTAAACTTGATACAAATAATGATCCTGCCAGAATAATTGAAACTATTCGGCTGGAAGAATTTGGTTTGGATCCAAGTCTTTCAGCTATGGAAACCAGAACGTTGAAGAAGCAACATGCTAGGTTAGGGAGGGCGCTTCACTGTCTCTCACAAGAATTGTATTCTCAAGATTCACATTTCATCTTGGAACTGGTAAGATTATAAGCTGTTTAACTCTTTTCTTTTGCTTTCTGGTGCCAATTTTTAGGCGAGTACCAATTCCAGGCATGTCATTTTATTGTTTTTCACAGCTAATTTTATCCAGCCAAGTCCTTTGGTTTCTTATTATATATCCATCTCTGGCGAACCTTTATCTTCAGTGACTATCAAGAACGTAGAGAAGGTAGGATTGGCGGTTGGTTGGATCTAGTATAGATCATACATGGACAATAGTTGGAGTTGATGGGTCTTCCATTAGAGTCTAATGATGGTTTTCAAGTAGTGAGTCATTCTGTTTATCTACATCAAAATTGGGTACGTGTGATATCAATGCACCAACTTGAGGAAGAGTTAGAATGGTGAATTATAAAAATGTTTCCTTCGAACTTATATACTAGTCTATTTAGAAATTAATATTTTTCATCTTTCCTTATTTTCCTTCTAAAGATTGTACTCCTATATATTGGATTGATTATATGATAAATCATTCAGGCTAAATTTCAAGTTGTTGGAATGATGAAGGTAATTTTTTATGTCATGTGAGTTCCATGATATGCTTTTGCCTTCTGGAACTTGCAGTTAACTTCTGCAGTTTCGAACATTTTAGGATGGACAGAGTCATATGCTAAAAGCTCCTGTTTAATAATTTATTCAATATATTCAGAGAAAAACTACCTTTTCTGCACTGGAAATTCTTGGTCTTATTTGCTGTATGTCGCCAACCTAATTTTTCCAACTTGTTAGTTCTTTCTCAATGCTATGTAGAGTTAATTACAATGTTCTGGTGGATGAATAATCAAGGATTTGCTGTGATTCTGTATTTCATATAATGCTGGTTTTATAACTTCCATTGTGGTGGAAGGCTAGGGTTTGGATGTTCTAAGTGTGTATTCGCTAATATGATAATAAAATTCGCAGCCATCCTTATAGATTTCCCATTCGCATAATCCTTAATGATGTTGGGGCCGTATGAGTAATAAAGTTGTTTTTACAAATAGAAATGGGAAAACTGTTTAATGGAAATCGTGATTCTCTAAACAAAATGAAATAATCCTTTCAGTTTTATCTGTGAGAATAATAATTATTGATCTATTCATTTGTCTTGTCATGTGCTTTAGGTTCAGAATGCTGACGATAATATTTATCCTGGAAATGTGGCTCCTACTCTGGTATTCATACTTCAGGAAAGGGGCATTATTGTCCTAAATAATGAGCAAGGCTTTTCTGCTGAGAACATCAGAGCACTCTGCGATGTTGGAAATTCTACAAAGAAAACACATTTGGGATATATTGGAAAGAAAGGCATTGGCTTCAAATCCGTGTTCCGGGTATGTTAACGAGGCAGTTGTGCTGAACTCCCTTACGCCTTTTAACCTGCTGATTGATTTAGTTGTTATCATTTATTTTTTGGCCTATAATGTCTTCATTTTAATGGAAGAGAAGCTTTTAGAAATAAACTTAAAGGGACTTAGTAGTCCAGAAGATAACATTTAAAGATGTAATGAAATCAAAGATGTAAAAATGGAACTCAGTATTAAAGCTTGCAAGCATATTGATTACTTAGTTTTTCGTCAGCAGTGCTATTTTTATAGTGCACTGAAGGTTCTCATTTTTACTTAATGAAAATGAGGTTCACTGGTGCTTCTGTAATTTCATGACTAGTTTAGAAGTTGGTTTGATAATAGGCATTTCTTCCTGTTTTGCATAATTACGATATAAATTACTGCAAGAAAGTATTTATTTAGACTTCAAGCAACATTGGAGTATTAGTCAGACTCAGTGGATGATCTTTCTCTAAATTGTTTTTGGTTTCTTATCTGGTTCAGGTAACAGATACTCCAGAAATTCATTCGGGTGGATTTCACATCAAGTTTGACATAACTGAGGGACAGATTGGTTTTATTTTGCCAACTGTTGTTCCACCATGTAATACCGACTTGTATGCCAGGCTTGTGTCTGTAGATGATGATCAAATCAATATTCACCTTTGGAACACATGTATTGTGCTACCTTTCCGATCGAAGTCGCTAGACGTGTGTTCCATGAATAACATTATATCAATGTTTTCTGATCTTCATCCATCTTTGCTACTATTTCTACGTCGTCTTCAATGTATAAAGTTTAAAAACATGCTTGATGGTACACTCACTGTTATGAAAAAAGAAGTTTTTGGTAATGGCATTGTTAAGGTTTCTGTTGGGGAGGAGAAAATGACATGGTTTGTAGTATCACAAAAACTGCAGGCTGATGTCATTAGACCAGATGTGCGAACAACAGAAATATCCATAGCATTTACGCTGCAGGAGACAGAAAATGGAGATTATATCCCACATCTAGACCAACAACCTGTTTTTGCATTTCTTCCTCTACGAACATATGGGTTTAAGTTTATTCTCCAAGGCGATTTTGTGTTGCCTTCATCCAGAGAAGAAGTTGATGAGGATAGTCCATGGAATCAGTGGTTATTATCAGAGTTCCCTGGCTTGTTTGTCGGTGCTGAGAGATCTTTTTGTGAGCTTCCTTGTTTTCGAGAGAGTCCAGGAAAGGCTGTTTCAGCTTTTATGAACTTTGTTCCTCTTCTAGGTGACGTGCACGGATTCTTCTCTAGCCTTCCCCGAATGATTATTTCTAAATTAAGGGTGTCGAACTGCCTTATTTTGGAAGGTGACAAGGATGTATGGGTACCTCCATGCAAAGTTCTAAGAAGTTGGAATCAACAAGATCGTGCTCTTTTACCTGATAGCTTGCTTCGAGAACACCTTGGCCTCGGATTCTTGGATAAGGATATCATTCTATCAGATTCATTAGCAAGGTCTCTCGGTGTGGAGGATTTTGGTCCCAAAGTTCTACTCCGCTTTTTGTCTTCCTTGTGTTGTTCCAAGAATGGTATAAAATCTATGAGTTTGATTTGGCTGTCTTCTTGGCTCAATGCTATTTATGTCAATTCATCCCATTCTTCTGAGACAACTTCCCTAAACTCTGGTGCTGGATTAGATCTCTTAGTTAATCTGAGGAAATGTCCGTTTATTCCTCTTTCAGATGGTACATATAGCTCAGTGGATGAAGGTACAATATGGCTACATTCTGGTGCCTTCAGCGCCAGGACCATTGATGATTATAGTCAAGAAACCTTTCCAATTTTGTATGCAAAACTTCGAACTGTGAGTCCTACTCTTCTTTCTGCAGCAGCTGCAGCTGAAACCTCATGTTTTGATTCGTTTAGCGTGGAGAATGTTACTAGGATGCTCTACAGAGTTGGTGTCCAAAGGTTATCAGCACATGATATTGTAAAGGTGCATATCCTACCCACTATATCTGGTGACAGAGATACATGCGTGGAGGATTTGATGACAGAGTATCTTTCTTTTGTGATGTGTCATCTGCAATCAAGTTGCCCCAACTGTTGTACAGAACGGGCAAGCATCATGACAGAGTTATGCAGTAAAGTTCCAATTTTGACAAATTNGCAATCAAGTTGCCCCAACTGTTGTACAGAACGGGCAAGCATCATGACAGAGTTATGCAGTAAAGTTCCAATTTTGACAAATTATGGCTACAAACGCCCTATTGAAGTCCCAATTCATTTCAGCAAAGATTTTGGGAATACCATTGACTTGAATAAGTTGTTAAGTGGCACAGATGTCAAATGGCATGAAGTTGACTCTATCTATTTGAACCATCCAGTCACAAAATCTGTACCTGGCGGAATGCTGAAGTGGAGGTGTTTTTTCCAAGACTTGGGCATTACTGATTTTGTACATATTGTTCAAATAGAGAAGAATTTTGTTAATGTATCAGAAGATACAGGTAAGGTGTTGGATGGAGACATGTTATCTAAAGGATCAGTTGTCATAGATTGGGAATCTGAAGAGTTGGTTCATTTACTGGCACAACTGTCGTCAAAGGGTGACCGGGAGAAGTGCAGCTACCTCTTGGAGATATTTAACACGCTGTGGGATACTTGTTTCAGTGATAAGGTCACTGGCTACTGCTGTGATGTTTCCGGTGAAAGAAAACCTTTCAAGTCCTCACTGATCAGTATGCTTCATAATTTTCGCTGGATCAATTCAAGTATTGATATTGAGCTTCAATACCCCAAAGATGTCTTTTACGATTGTGAAGCAGTGCGCTTAATTCTGGGTGCTAGTGCTCCTTATGCTGTTCCAAAGGTTAGTTTTGATCATTATATGCTGTTGTTTTCCTTTCACATTAGCAAAGCAAGTATTTTCCTTCTTTTTTGTTCTGTTATTCTCTCTTTTTCTCCTTATTTTCATTGACAGCTCAGATTCAATTTTGTATTGCGATGCCCTCCAACCTGAGCAGTGTGCAAAAATGTTGTCAAATATTTAACTATTTGATAGTTTGATAACTTCCATTGATCTGAATTTAGATCTCTAAGATTACTTGTAATTGAGGAAGTAAGTTGAAGAGAAAGGAGTTATTGCCACCTTCCTAAGGGAAAATTATTAAAGTTTTTTTGTCATGCCCTCCTATGATTATGTCCCACATTGACACAAATTTTATATCTTTAACCACGCACTTTTGTGCTATATGTTAATAGGTCTTTTTACACAAAGATGAGTACCAGCATGAACTTTGATTAATGAACTAAAGTATATATCACTATGTCTTCACTCTCCCCAAAAAATCTAAAAACTCTGCTAGATGATTTAGTGCATTTTTCTGTAGAATGGCCTAGATCATGTTATTTATCGGCAATCTCCTAAAGTGTTCCACCTCATCAAAAAAAATGTCACGGTGATGCTTTTATCACAAGTCCTTTGTCCTTATCTTGCATCATCAGCTAAAGTGTAACTAAAGGATGCGATGTTGCTTATTATGTATAGCTGTTCATTAGCTGTTAATTGGGTTTACTCTGGTAATCTTATATGTGATCGAGAAATAATCAACTTGGTTTCAGTTAGAATGTGAAAATTAGAATAATAGATTATGGAAATATTTCCATCTAGATTATATCCTAGTCTAGCTAAGATTGATATTTTTTACTTTGAGGATTTCTTTTCTTTTTCCATTTTCCTTCTTCCTTCTATAGGTAGGATTATTCTTCTATAAATAACCCTTGATTTTGATGAATAATATAAGTAATTCAGCCAAAAATTAAAGTGTTTCTAAGAAAAAGACAAAATCAATTGTACATGGGATCACCGAAGGAACAACAATTTCAATGCTACTTTCTTCTTTTCTTGGGATTCATGAGTGGTATTTGCTTACAAGACAAATCGACCATTTTAATTATTTGGAACCCTGACTAAGGTGCATTTGACTAGCCGATGTTTCAATGACCTACACTTAGAATTTGGAATTTAAAGACTAGAAACATTTCATCAATAGTGGACGGACACATAGCCCTTGTTTGATACCCATTTTTCCCAAAATACATTTTTCTCTCTTATATTTTCAACCATACACTCTTCAATAAAATAATATTACACGCAAAACTAAAACTTTTTCTTATTTTTTAACCACACATTTTTCAACAATCACTATTACAAAATGCATTTTTACTATGAAAATGAGAAACAAACAGGCTGATAATAAAGAAGGTATAAAAACGATCTTTTGTACAGTTTCAGGGATTAATTCAGTCCAAAGAGTTCTGTACCTAAAGCATGATTATTTCGTTATTTATGTGGAAACAACTCTTTGATTTTGTTTTGGACCAGGGTCAAGGGAATCAAGTTGAGTTGTAATTGCATTTTGGGAAAGAATTTCAAGTTTGTTTTGAAGTGTGTGTGTTCATGTTCTATAATCACAGTTGATGTAATCTTCCTGTTGCTGAATGTTTCTTCTCCATATACAACTCTCTCATTTCGCAACTATCAACATGTCCTATAATGAGAATGCATGTAATCCCTCAGAACTGTTGAAGTACTGTTTCGTAGTCTTTATGTAAGTTGACGTAGTGGCTGTTTTTTTTTTTTGGTGCAAGAATAGGTGAGTGACAAGATGCTACGTGATATTGAGTTCAAAACTCAAGTGATGTTAGATGACATGTTATCTGTTCTAAAAGTGTGGAGAAGATCTGCATTGCCATTCAAGGCCAGGTAGTTTTTCCTTCGTACACACACACACACACATATATATATTTTTTTGGCGTTGGTTAAATTGGTCACGGACATTCTCCAAAATAATTTACGCGTAAACCCAAAATTTTTCCCTATTTTTTAACCATACATTCTCCAAAAATTCACTATTCCAAACACATTTTACCCCAAAGAAGGGGCTCAATTAGGGGCATTATAATGTGACGAATGGCTTTCTCTGCTTCTTAATGTGTAAATTAAATCCTGTAGTCAATACAAATGTATTTACACCCTTCAGACTGCCTTCCTAAATCCACTCTTCTTCTCTCTTGTTCGGAAGCTTTGTCCCTTTTCTCAAGAACTGAGCGACATAGAGCTTACTTATTTTCAATTTATATATATTGTGTTTATACTTACCATCTCTATCTTTAATGAGATATTGATATTCGGTTATCCCTGGCTTTAAAGACTGTCAAAGCTCCTTTTGGATAGTGTGAACAAATTCCAGCCACTTCCATTACAAAGCCATTTCTTGATTTTTTTGAGACATCATTACTCTTTGTCCACAAGCAGTAAACTGAGAATTCCTTTTCTAACACCCTTTGCTTAGATATAATCTTCTAATTAATCTTTAGACTTCCTTGGCTCAGGAGTGACATTCATCATGCATATAACGATGACCCAAAAATGAACTTGATCATAGACAATGCAATGATTTCTAGTGCTATTAAATATAGGTGTATATTCAGGTGGTAAATCTCAGCTTTTATGCATTTTTTTAATGACTACGTCATTTAGATGGCTTTTGAATATTTCTTCTTTTGCAGCGTATTACAAATGTCCGGATGGTACTTGAGGATTTGGAAGGAGATGGCTACTTCAAAGCTAAAAATCATTGAGGATTTATGTTCTGGTCCGTTCATATTTGTTCCTTGTTTATCCAGTTCTTCATCTGAGGATACAGTACCTGGCGTATTTATGTCTGCTCAAGAAGTCCATTGGCATGAGTCAATTGTTTCCATGAACCAAGCGGAGTTGTTCCATCCTAAATGTGACTCAGATGTGCCTTGTTATCCCTTTAGCAAAGCATTATGCAATGTTTATCCAGATCTCCGCGACTTTTTTGTGAGAGAGTGTGGAGTGAATGAAAATCCTCCTCTCTGTAGCTACCTAGAGATTTTGTTGCACTTATCAACTATTATGTTACCATCACAAGCAGCTAGGGAAGTAAGTAATCAAAGCTTCATTGGTACTATCGGAAATTTTAAGCACTTAAAAATTATATATAATGTATAGCTTTTATATTGCAGGTTTTCCAGGTATTTGTAAGATGGGCTGATGGATTGCAATCTGGATCACTGTGTTCGAAGGATATTGAGTACTTAAAAGACAGTCTTTTAAGAAAGGAATATACAGTGCTACCCACTGCTCAAGATAAATGGGTTTCTTTGCACCCTTCCTTTGGCCTTGTTTATTGGTGTGATGATGATACGTTACAGAAGGAATTCAAAAGTTGCAATGACATTGCCTTTCTTTACTTTGGCGAACTAACAGACGAGGAAAAACAGGTCTCTAAGGAAAGGATTTCAACTCTCATGCAAAGATTAGGAATTCCTGCTCTATCAAAGGTTCTCTCTCCCTCTCCCTCTCCCTCTCCCTGTTCATGTTTTGGGTGGTGATGGGGAAGGTGTTTGTGGATTGGAGGCTAAAATAGTAAGGCAATGTTTGCAGTAATATTGAAATGCCCCAACTCTAGTTCTTTCTCTCGAGTGTAAATAAATCGAGACTTGCACCCAACTGTAGGAACCATCCTTAAGTAGTTCCTTTTCATACCAAAATTCATATTGTTCGGATAATGTTGAGGGGTATTGTCCTACTTTAGAGTAAAACATGGCGAACTTGGCCAACTGGTACGGATTAAAAAAAAATGAGTTTTCCCTTTTAAGCCTTTGAAGTCAATAACCCTTCAACAAAAGACAAGTAGAATTTGACATCCAATAGAAAAGAAACTCGGGGCATCACAGATATCCGACATCATTTAGATACGAAAATAATATATCATCATGTAAGGAATTGGTCATTACACTTCTTAACATGGTTATTGTTTTAAGATGGAACCCCAATGCTTAATAAGGTATCCAAAAGTAACAATACGTCTTTCTTTTTTCAGGTTATAACTCGTGAGGCAATATATTATGGGCCGACAGACAATAGTTTCATAGCTTCATTGGTGGAGTGGGCTCTTCCATATGCTCAGCGCTACATTTATAATGTGCATCCAGATGATTATTTACAGCTAAAGCAGTCTGGATTTCATATCCCAATATGTCTAAGGATTATTGTTGTTGAAAAGTTGTTCTACAGGAATGTTCTAAAGGGGTCTCATCTTGCATCTAAGAGACGGTCTGAGTGTAGTTCTCTTCTGCAGGTTCACAGAAATAATTTTTTGCTGCCATTTCACAACTACAGATACATATTTCTTTTTCTTTCGAGAATTATGATCCTGTTTCTGTTTACGTTTCTCACTTTTTTGGGATAATATATCTAATTATATATGCTATAAGGTGATTAGATTTTGCAATTCAACATTTGGGATATTATACTTTCTCCTTATTTTAGAGACAATATAGTATTTTAAGAATTTATGATGTCTTGCTGCTTTGAAGATATCTGACCCGACTGGCTGTGTCTAAAAGATTTGAAAAGATTGTGCAAATATGGATATCTTTTTGATCATTTTCCTGAAAACAGACTCAGGATTTGCTGATGTTTTGCTTAAGAAAAGGGATATCTTTTTTATCATTTTCCTTTGTGGGGTACCTTTTGCAGGGAAACATCTTGTATGCTGCTCGGGAATCAGATTATCACTCTCTATACATGGAACTTTCTCGTCTACTGTATGGTGGAAATCCTAAACTGCACTTGGCAAATTTTCTTCACATGATTACAATCATGGCAGAATCTGGTTCCTCTGAAGAACAGATGGAAGTATTTATTCTGAATAGCCAAAAGGTTCCAAAACTCCCAGCCGAAGAGTCTGTGTGGTTGCTTTCAACTGTTTCATCTTCAGCGGATAATGATGAAGCGTTAATGCAGCAGCATCGTCTGTCCACCACAATTGAGGGGAGAAATTCCAAGAAGTTTAAAAAGAAAACTGGGATCAACTCAAATTGGCCACCTGTTGGTTGGAAAACCGCACCTCGTTTTAACTTTCCCCATGTAAATCTACCTGAGACACGAGCAGCCTGGAGCCTGCCAACGATTAAAAATCATTCCTTGGAAGAAACTAGTGCACAAAAAGAATATCCCTTTCCTACCGAACGTACCATGGAAGGTGATCAAGTACCAAGTTCATCAGCGGCAGTTTCGCTAGAATCTGAAGCCTTGGAATATCTGTCTGAACATGTGAGCAACATTGTTGCACCTGATACGAGCGTGGAACCTACTTCTGTACATGGATCGAATTCTTGTGAGAGAGAACAGCTTTGTTTTGGCACAACAAATGCAAAGCAGGCAATGTTGACAGGCAGAATCGGAGAACAGGTAGCTTTCAAATACTTTGTGGAAAATGCTGGTAAGACTTCGGTGAAGTGGGTGAACGAAGTTAACGAGACCGGCCTGCCCTATGACATTGTCATAGGAGGTGAAGAGGAGAGTGAAGAGTACATAGAAGTTAAATCTACCAAATCTGCTAAAGACTGGTTTGCTATATCAGTGAAAGAGTGGCAATTTGCAGTTGACAAAGGTGAATCTTTCAGCATCGCCCGCATTGTTTTGAAAGACAATAAATTGGCAGCAATCAAAATATACAAAAATCCAGTGAGACTTTGCCAATTGGGTGAGCTCCAGTTGGGAGTTTTGATTCCTAAACAGATGGAGTCTTGAATCATTTCCTAAGCCCTGCTTAGATTCTATGTATCGTCAAATAGTTAATATGATTCCTCAAAATCTTTGACTTATCGTCTCGATGGTTAAAGATTTGTGCTACGCATCCAGAGATGAGGAAGCTTTGAAACTTTCTGTGCTTGCTGAAGAATTTGTTGGCAATCTAATCTAACAGTGACAAATGAGGGTAATGTATTAGTATATTTAGCTTTTATGATTGTGTGTATTTGTGTATATGCATCCTGCACACATTTCTCCTTATATATTTAGTAATTAATATGTTTTGATATATTACCAAAAGATTTGTAAGTTAGGATTTGTTAAATAGATGGTTTTATCTTGAGTTTTATTTGCCAATTAAACTGAAACATTTCTAACCTTTGTAATTGAATTATGCACTTCTAGTCTCTAAAGTTTCCTTTAATATACACTGAATTCCCATATAAGGATTAAAAATAGTAAAAAAGGTTGAACCCCAACCTTGAGGGTCTCCTCCGCCCCGCCCCTAGAGATTTGTGAGGGAGGTAAACCATCCGGGTACCCCATAAGCTGGACCAAACACGTTGCCGTCAGAAGCAGAACTCTGTTGCAATTAGTTTCGCTATAGCATTCGCTACTCTAACTAATTATCCACCTATCTAATTCCCTTTCTGTACAAGTTTCTAAATTGAGAAGGCAATTTATGAAATCTTGCACGATCGATGAAAGAATGCAGAGACACGTAGGAAGTAATCTCTGGGCATCACACAAAGTTCTGCTAATATAACCAAATTTTTTGCCTAAATGCTATCTACGTTTCTCCAGTACAAAGTCCCAACATGAAGGAATGTTCAAAGGACTTAAAAATAAAAAATGTCAACGTAAGTTACAGTCAGTATAAATCAAAAGACAAGTTCTTTTGGTGCTACACATGATTTGGTAAACCCCAATTGGTTAAGAATAAACGAAATGCTTCTTCTAGACAGATCCACAGACAAAGACTATAAAAATGCGATGGGCCTTATATATATTTGTGTATGCTTTTATCAAAATTCTTCCTATAACCTCAAGCGGGCAACTCAAGCTTCACATTATTCTTCCAGCTGCAACAGTGATGAAAATGAGTAAAGTTACAAGTTCAAAATGGCAAGCTTATATAAATAGAAAATTCTACTTGTACATAATTATTGCACATAATGGTATCCATAATGTGATGTGGCAATCATCCGATTATTGATGTGCAAGTGTAAAATTTGAATTAAAAGTTGGATCCAGTGTCACGTGTAATTATGGACACCATTATGTATACAATTATGTACATGTAGCACTTCCCTATATAAATATGCCCCAATGCTTGAAAATTTTAACTTTGGAAGTAATAATAAAAGAAATCGGCGTAAAGCAGTGTCTAAACAAGTCCAGAAATCCAAGCTGCATTTGCAGAAGGAGCACATAAGTAGGATATCAATTTAGATACAGATGGTGATATTTTCATTTTGCACATATACAAAACTATGCAAGCTGCTGCAAAAAACCTTTATCAAACATGATGTATCCAGAGAGAGAGACATACTTATCTAGTGAACATAGTGTGGCTCAGTGAATTAGCGATAAATCCAGTTCAATATGTATAATGACCGGTATGCGCTGCAATAAGGTGGGATAGATACATTTGAGTTTCATCATTCATTTAACCAAAAGACAATAACTTAAAACCCAGAGTTCTGGCACCAAATATTGGTATTTCAGATTTATTAGACATGGACGACGCAAGTGATAGAACTAATTAGTTAACATGAGAAGTAGACTGGATCTGTCATGAGATATTGAATTAGTCTTCTGTCAATGATACACATGATGCTCATAACTGTAGTCAAAGCCAGATACAGAATGTCAGGACAGGGATTGTTCACTAACTATAAAGGAAATTTGAGGATAAGAGAGGTTGAAGAATGGCTAGGATGCCCACAAGTGATAGAACTAATTTGTTAACATGAGAAGTAGACTGGATCTGTCATGAGATATTGAATTAGTCTTCTGTCAATGATACACATGATGCTCATAACTGTAGTCAAAGCCAGCTACAGAATGTCAGGACAGGGATTGTTCACTAACTATAAAGGAAATTTGGGGATAAGAGAGGTTGAAGAATGGCTAGGGATGCCCACAAAGTTACTCTCTTTGGGTGATATCTAATTTTGTAGATAAAGTTCTAAAGTAACTAATTCATCATCTGGCCCATGATCACATCTTCTCCCCATGGAACTAAGGAAACATCCATCGGTAGATGGAAATGAAGAAATGAATCAATTGCCAAGAAACAATTTTAGTTCACAATGGTCAACTCATCAAAGAATTTTAGAGAGAGTAGATGAATTATGAATTCTGTATCAGAATACGAGTCAGTAGATAAAGCCGTTGTGAAACCTCTTTATTCAATTTCTATTTTCCTGCTAAAACAAATTATTTACTATTCATACTTCAAAGAATTCTTTTATATGACTTTGTATAATTGGTTTAACGTTGCGGCCACTAACCGTATAGAAGGGTTGCCTAACTTCATGTCGTTTCTTTCTTGTTTATTTTGACAATACACCCCCATGTATTATCCCATTTATTAATAAAATTATATAATTACTTATAAAAAATAAAAATAAAAAAAATAAAAGAAAAAAGAGAGAGATTGTATAGATCTAGACAAAAGACAAACATATATCATAGTGCATATCACCACTTTGTTCACCACGAAAGTTCCAAATGTGAAGCATCTGACAAGTATCATGCACCAACACACCGGGATGTGTCCGACACGAATCATGCACCACTTGGCATACCCTTTCTTTTTAAATAAAAGTAATAATAATAATAATTCAACACACAATAGCGACTGTACGAGATAGAAGGTACTAACAAGGCATAGACATGTGACCAACACACACATGATGGCTCCTATTTTTTATATTCTAAATTTTCTGGCATTTGAGAGACATTGCCACAACTTGTTAGCAACACAGGAAGCCCTATTTTGTAAATTTTAATACAAAATTACGCAAACTTTAATCATAAAAATATGTTTAAAACTTCAAAATAATGTGAAACTATACGAACATGAGGTATTTGTTTTACATTTATTACGTGCACTTATTTTTATTTTATTGACACTAATAATACAATTTACGACTGAACCTTGTCTTAATACAAACAACCAGTCCTCAACTTCAAATATTTCACCTGGAAGTTTCACAGTCAAAGCTAATAAAATAAGTTTTGGTAAAACATAAAGAAGTATAAAAATTAATATATAACACATCAATGCATAATTTAAAGTATCGTAAACAACATTTTGCATCATCTCTTTTTAAAAGTTACATGTTGATGTTTCATATCTGTGGCCATGTACATATTTGTGCTTCGTAGGCTTCCAAATTGAATCTCACAAAATGAATGCTATGATACTCGAAGATACAAATCGACAACATTTACAGTTGCACAGGAGGTCTAATTTCTTCAAGGATAAATTTTGCAGGTTTTTCTTATAATACTAATAAAAAAATATATATCATTTATAAGAAAGAAGCACCATTGGAAGGGCAAGCTGCATTCAGCTTCTGGACTAATTTCTTCAGGAACATATTTTATCACCGTTTCTTATGAAAACTAAGACCACAATCATGAATTTACACCTTACCAAATCATGGTGAGGTGGAAGAGCTACATGTCAAAGAAAACTTAGGTATGGCACTACATATGTAGTAGCTTAGCATTTCCCATGACTAAGCATCCACATGCAGAAGGAGAAGTATTAACCCATGATATTATAAATTAAAAATCAAGGAGGAGGGTTTCAATAAGAACCACAAAACCACAGCTCACTGCAACAAGATGCTGACACAAATCCTAGCCTGAAACTCACTTCATAAAGAAATTTGTATGCAATATATAATTTTAGATAGAAGGTAAGAAAATGGTAATAATGGATTACCCCAGAAAAAAAAACATATTGCCCGGTCAAGTTATCAATGTTTCTTGTCCTCTGCAGCAGAACCAGCTGAGGAAGGATAGCTACAGCTTCCAAGTACAAGGAGAACGCCCACAATATCCGATCACTCAAATAAACAAGAAATACAAGGTAAGTAATAGAACAAGAAGAACAGGCTAGACTGCAGTTTTCTGCAAAGAATGTTAGAAAGGTAGAGTAATAATTCATTTTCATAATTCGGAGGAGCTAAGTTATTTTTCCACGAGTAATTAGCCATGAACAATGTAAACTAAGTCATGAAATAATAGTCCAATGGGGAAGCCAGAGAACCTCTTTGACAGTGAACTTTTCGTTTATGACTAGAGCCAATAGTAAACATGGCAGCATGAGGAAATAGTGGCGAAATGTGTCCTGATCTTTGTTGTAGGATCTGCGGACAATCTTGTGATGCCTTATATACCAGACGATTGAGAAAGAGCTTCCCAAGAAAATTAATTTCATTAGAGTATTATACAGTGAAATGTAGTTAGTAAAAAGATCCATCATTTATCTAAAGATAATTTCATCATACAGCTTCTTCAATTTTCACTAGCAGAAACATAAAATCAATTGCAAGAAAAACAGAAAAAACTTATTTTAATCGGCCAAAAAAGATGAATAAGAGGATGAACTTTTATAAAGCATTTATACTAAGCAGATGTAACCACAATACCACTATAATTCAAGTGCAGATTTCCCAATATTTTTTATTGATGCCTAAAGAACCCTTTCAAGGATAATCAGAAACAATTCATTATCAAGAAAAGATTAAAAAACACAGCTGTTCACATTGCTTCTACATAGACATCAATGGAAAACAATGTTTTTTATTGTATTCTGTCCTCAAGGCCCCCAAAACTGTTGCCAGAATTGAAGTTTCTATTTTCTTAGGTGTCAAATAGGAAACACATTCAGAGACATGATAATCCTACTCTTTTAGCGCAGAAAACTTTTCAGAAACATTGTGATCAAGCAGGACCCATTAACACACTTATTTTGAAGTGACTCCCGACTGACTCAAATCAGTGCTCAAGAGAAAAATATTCTAGGTTATTTAGAAGATTTTCTAAATCTGACTCGATCAGATTGAAAGACGTTCAGGGATTCAAAGCAGACTGAGTATGTAGCAGGTCTTATGTCGAGTTTAGCACCTGTGTTCTAGTTCACCTCCCATACAAATGAAGACAAGTCATGAACATGCATAAAATTACATGTTCTTCTGTTTAGTCAAGAAACATGTTTGGACATGACATTGGACTTAGGTTCTCAAGTATCAGAGGTGCATTGACCAATCTCTAGAGTTTTTTCATGTTATCTGCTCCTGTACACGTCTCCCTCGAAGCACTGAAAATGGGAACCAAACATATAACATAGAACACTAATGATATTTTCATTCCACAATGGACATTGTAGTCAGCATTTCAAACCATTTCTCAGAGCAGTGCCATCTAGCAATTCCATCAATTTGAGAAATCTCCAGCAAATTGCTAAGCAACAAAGAAAATGATACCAATTCCAAATTTAGGATTCAAAATAACGAAGAGGACAGTAATTATATTACTTCAAGAAGTGTTCCAATGATTCAAAAGTAAATTTATCACTGAATTGTAAAGTGAATACCCAGAATTAATAAGATAAAGAAACACTACATTTCAGAAAAGAGGAGAAAACTGAAAATGGAACAAAATAAAAATGGTTCATTACATGCCAAATGTGACCGAGATTTGAAATTCACATAATAAACTAACATATAAAAACAAGCCTTTGCCAGTGCCTTAACACTTTAGAGTTCTCGACACTGCATCAAGTCTGCCAACAAAATTATTGTGTGCCTGCTAAATAACCGGGATGAAGCTACTTTTTAGCTTTAGAAAACTGCACTTCAATTTCATTCTCCTAAAGATTCCCATCAGGCTCAACATCCTAATAACTGGTCATTTTTCTCACTATATGCCCAATGAACTAGTTAATATGAATCAATAATCATAGCACATAAATTAGCTAGTTGAAATACAAATCTATATAACTTACTTTAGTAGCTGCAATACACAGAAGTACTAAAATATTTTAAGCAATACGACAAAAAGTTTTCCAAAACCAGTTACATCAATTCAAGAAACATGACTGAAATTACCAAAAATGAAATTTCCCCAATTAAAAAAAACAATGCAATCACCAATAAGATTCAAATTCACCACTCATAAATGTATACATATGGAGGTTTTGGAAATGGGGAAGAATGTAGAAATGCGTACCAGCACATGATTTGATGGTGTGGATCTTGAGGAGCAAAACAAGGACGCTCGCCAAATGGGTCATGTCCCCTGCTAATCTAAATATATTCATCTTTCCCTTCTGTATCGATCAACCAGAAAAAAGATCTGACCACAATTTCTTTCTTTCTATTATTTCTTAGAACAGATCTCTGGGATGATCCAAACAAAGGGGAAGAGAATTTGATTTTGTTATTCTACTTTGCTTTCTTATTCCTATTCTATTATTTCGTTCACAGTTCTTCTCCTATAAATGCCATCGTTTTGCCCAAGTGGTTAAAAACAAATTGACACAAATAGCACTACATTGAGCTAAAAATAATTTGTATCTTTCACCATCTTTATCACCACCTTGGGTAGCTTATACTAAAGAAAGAGTTATTATTATTATTATTATTTTTTTTTTACACTAAAGAAAGAGTTGCTCCCTAGGTATAATCCAATGGTGCAAAGGATAGGAGTGAAGTTATCTCACGCCTTACTGACAGTCGTAATGTGGGGGTTCGATTCCTGAGATATGGAATTAGACTCTTTGTAGGTGCAGTGTACAGACAGCTCTTGTTCCCTAAACTGTAGGGATACATTTCGCGATTTACCTCTCTCACAAAACTCTAGGAAACGGACCGTGGGAGCCCTCAAAGTTGGGTTCAACCCTTTCTTTTTTTTTTTTTAACTAAAGAAAGAGTTATTATCATCCATTATAATTGAAGTATGTATAAAGTTTCAAGTTAGTCATTAAAGTTTTTACTTACTAAAGTAGTTTGTTAAGATTTATAGCAATTTCACCGTCGATTTCTTTGCACAAGACAAAATTCACACGTTCCATTACTATTACCCTAGGTTGGAATTAAGGTTAATTTAAACGAAACATGAATTCAATAATTTTTTTAAAGCGATCGTGGTAGCAACCTAACTAATTGAGTTTAGCCATGTGAATGGATGTCACGTCACATCATATGTTATTTTTTTATAATAGAGTAGCGAAATATGAAACGCTTATAAATTTCAATGACTTGGAGGAAATTCAGAAATTGTCCTCTCACATCAAATGAAAAATGTAACTTAATTGAGTTAATATATTGACAGTCACCAAACTTCCACTAAAACTACAATAAGGTCGCTGAAATTCAATTGATAATAATGAATCACTTGAACTTTAATTTAATAATGAAATCAAAGCACTTTGTTTGATAACATGTCAATTAAAATGAACAAATTTTCCACGTCCTCATCCCAGATATTAATTTTTGAGAAGTCCGCTCTATCTCAATCATCCATTTCTAAAAACATTTGGATTTTCTTTTTTTTTCCAAATGCATTAACCTTGGATGGTAAACAGGCTGAGACGGGGCTAATATAGGGACGAGCCAATCACAAAAATAAACTACACGAGTTGACTCATTTTGACTTATTTTATTAATCTCGATTAGAAATTGTGAATTTTTTATTTTTTTATTTAAAAAAAATGAATTGACTCATGGATGACTCAGTTCAATCCATAAGACTCTCGAGTCAAGGGCTGAATCGAGGCTAGGAATTGGATACAAACCCAACCGAACTTGGGTATTTAGGACTCGGCACATTATGATGCTAAAAGTATTACGTTAATGCCGATGGAGTAGTGGAGAATGGTCGGGTACTCGGCTCATTTTCCACAATAGCATTTGACTCTTTTTATTTATTTTCCTGTTAAGATTTCTTGTCTCTTGATCAAGTTTCATCTTCATCTCCATCTCCATCTCGGTCTCCACCTTCACCTTCATATCTCATATTGTGTGGTAAAGTTTATATTAATGTTTGTTTTCTTCATTTTGTTTGGATAGTTTCTAAATTTTTTATTGTTTTGCTTATACTATTGTTGGGTAATGTGTTTATGCTTTAAATTTATCTATTAAGATGTAAACCTGCTTTGATATTCAAAGATTTGAACCAAAAAAAAAAAAAAAATGATTTGTTAGCATTGACAAAGTAGATTAGCATCAGGGTCTGTGAAGAGGTGAAGGATTCCTTCACAGATCGGAGTCTCTGAAGAAATCGTCTCACTCCCAAATTTGTAATGGATGGTATTTTTATTTTTTTTATATAAAAGAAATCTTTGTCACTTTTGTTTCGAAATTTAGGCTTCTTCTTCAAATGGTATCTTTAACTAGGCCACAGTGAAAATTCTCACCTTTAATGTCCCGTGCAGAAAAGCAATTATGTCGATGTAAAACTTGATATGCATATATCATATTCTGTTCATCATTAAGGGCCAGTCCAACAACATCATCTAAATACTAAATAGTGGGCGGAAAAGAAAAGAATATAATTTTGACAAATGTTTAGTGCACGTAGATTAGTTAGGTAGCTCGTAATGCTCATAATCTCAAAGGTCACGCGTTCAAATTCTCTATTTGCAAATCATTTTTTTTCCCTTTAATCAAAAGGAGGGTTGGCTCTATTTATCCCCTTTTTGGGGTGGTAGGGAAGGAAGAGAAAAAGGGATGGATTGTTAACATTATTATGGTCAATTATGCATAAACCTGTATCATTTTAAAGGAAAAATAACGTTATCTTGATCTTGGAAGGATAACAAGCACTGAACATATTTCAGAACATCGAAATTTTGACGAACTATCGATGTAATTTAATGTAATAATTTTTTTTTATCAACTTAGCACTTACTTGACCCTATTTGCTAAAATTAACTTTTTCTCGAAATTCATTTTTAACACATTTTATGGAATCCACAATTTGTATCAATTTTTGAACAACATGTTTCACTAACTTTTATCAAACTCTACTAAAAATTCAAATTCTATCCAAACCAAGTAGAGGCCTAATATTTATTTAAACTTTTTAATCCTTAATTTGCTTCAAGGAGCACATTTTTATTATTCTTTTTGATAATTCAATTCCTTTTACATTTTTAAGTTATCTACTATTTGAAAAATTCTTGTTTTTTGTTATAAAAAAACTAATAGAGCAAGAGAGAAAAAATAGAAAAAATCAAAACTCCAGTATATATATTTTATTGAGAATCAAAACCTCATATTTATATAGTTCAAAATGAGAATAGACTCTTCTAGAGTAGATGAGACTTATCTAAATATTATAATAAGATTAAATAATTATTCACAATTATCTCATGGTTTTACAATATTCCTCATTTGATGACTATTTATACAATAATTGTCTCAATAAAAACTTAGTTTGACAACAATTCAATAAGATAAAAAATACCAAATGAATAAAAAATTATTTATAATTATAACAAGATTGGAATAATAAAATGATATCTCGTTAAACCTTTGTTAAGAAAATTCGGTAGGAAAAACTTGAGCTAAGCCGATCTCCGTGAGTTCAATAAACGAAAATTTTTGCATCGAACCATCCATGGTTGTACGTCAATGTCTTCAATATCATAATTTTGATAAAATATGTTCCGTGTTATCTTGTTATAACCTTCAAGTAAATATCATTTTCATACAAGATAATCAACTTTTGATGATTATAGTAATCTGATGATTTGAAAAATAGTTAGTGAGTTTCATAAATATAAGAGTATTATTTTAAGGGTCAATATCTTCTAAGTTATGGACATTCATTACACAAAAATATATTTTGTTAAAATCTTATTCGAAAAACCTATAGAAAAAATCTTAACAAAAGAAAAAAAAAGTACATTATTCCTTTAAATACGTCACAAAAGTTATCTCATTGAAAACATTGTCGGGAAAATCTAATGAGGTAAAACCTTAATCACGAGAAAAAGAGTATAATGTGTGTAAAATCCCAAATTTTTACTTAGCATTAATTTATTTAATAGGAATGCAATGTTCAGTTAAGTCCTTATACAAGTTAATTGGTTATGTCTATAGTTAATTTGGATCTATGTGAATATCTTTATAGTTGAGGGACCAAAGTGGAAATAAGTTTCAGATTTTATACCTTTATTAAATAGGCCGAATAGTTAATTATTGAAGGAGTTAGAATTACCCTATCAATATTGGGCTCATTTTGAAACTCGTAATAAATGATGAATTATGGACTCAAGAAAAATTCAATTTGGATTCGTTAAACTTGAGTTATAGCCAATTAAGAAAACTACTTAGTTAATAATATTAGTTATTAATTCGTGCTAAATTACTATATCAATATTGGACTCCTTTGATAGATAATAATTAATTATATATATAAGGATTAAGAAAATGATATTTTGAATAAGTTGAATTAAGATGGAATCAATGGAAGAATCAAGGTATAAATGAAATTCTAATTTATTTAGTATGCAAACAGTTTGTTTCGGCCATTAGGAGATTATTAGTTATCCATTTAAGTTGTTTAACAAATATAATAAGGAAACTAAATTTATCCTAGTGTTTACGTGTGCAAAGGATAAAGTCTCTTTATTATAATAAATTATTGATTACTTGTAATACTAATCTACTTTAATTAAGATAGAAATTATTATTCTTAATCATATAGGATTTGGATTATGATAAAGTCTTCTAATAATTATTGTATTAGAATGGTTATGACTTTAATTAATTAAACTAGTTAAGTTGTATAGAAATATCATTTGACACACTCTTCCATTTATTTTGATCGAAACTGGAGATTAACTAGTTATTTATTTTATTAAAATATGCAAATAGGAGGCCAATTTGGTTTCCCAGCCCACGTGTGAATTTAAGCAGCAAACAATCAGATTCACGCCTCTTTGTCCTTTTCCTTATTATAATTGTAGCTGATTTTGAACTTATCAAAACCAATAAACAATCAGATTCATCAAATAGAAGATCAGTCCACGTGTGTAAAGGTCATGCAGCCTCTTTATCTTTATCCTTTCCTTATCTGATATAAAACTCGGCAGAATCCCATAAGAAATCACCAATCAGAATTTCAAACTAATTTATGGGATCGGAATTCTAAACTAACTTATGTGATGTGCACAGAAATTTAGAATTCAAAACTTATCAAAATTCCACTTCCCACGTGATTACGCTACACCATGGTTTAGTATAAATATAGCACTAAACCTCAAGCATTCAGTCATTAATTCATCATTCTTCTTCTGCACGTCTTTATTCTCTTCTCCTCTTTAAAATATTTCTCCATATTATTAAGTCTTTTTAAGGCCTTGGAATCGCAATAAAGAATCACGTTTTCAGCAATTTTATTTTCCACGTTCATCTTCAAAAGATGAGATGCTCAGTGCTATTAGTGGTTTGTCCATATCTTTTCAAATACGTTGTTATGTATGGATTTAATTAC